CTTGGTAAGCTGCCTGTTAGTGAAGATAATATTAGTGCTTTGGACTTCAGTGGTCTAAACAATATTTGTCCTAGTATTACACCTGCCAACATCATGGCTAAGTATTGTCTCTTAACTATTCAAGCCGTTATCTCTTTTTGAAGAAATAACTGAAATTCCGATGAAAATAGATGAGTGAAAGAACTTCTCTGATCATTTTACAGATTGCTTTGTTAAGAATACAAGAGCTTTTGACTTTAAATTAAATCCCTTAATGGCAAAGGATCTAATAATTATTTGCAACCAAAAGAATTCAGTAATAAGAGACTGTGTGCCTACCTATCAACATTAGGAAGTTGTTCTGTATATAGTAAATAACATTAATGGCAAGAGATGAGTCTAAAACATCTATGAAACTCTCCTTAGGCCAACTTCATGCCAACTGTAAGCAAGTGAGATTAATACTACCCCTCCCCCTGCCCCGGCTTCCTAGCTGTAATGGCAGAAAGAGGATTATGTTCTTATTGAACTATTTGACTATTCTACCTATGCTGTTAAGGATGAGAATTTATCTAGGGACTTTTAGAATCTCTCCTGTACAGGTCTTTTGTGACTAATGTGAGACCAGTCTTGAATATTGATAGGCATTCCCCCTCCTCCTGGATGAGAAAATTATAATTGTTTTGAACAAGGCACTGTCCCTCGCTAAGCTCTCACCAAACTTAAAAGTCTTGCTTTTGCTCCAACATCTCTTATCCAGCCACTTGATCAAGGAGTTATTGCTGCCTTTAAATATTACTAAACAAAGCACACATTCAAGATGCTGATCAGCTACTGAGGGTGAGAACGCACAAACCATTCTTGAATTGTGGAAGCAATTCAACATTAAGAATGCAATGCATATTATTGTGGAGGCCTGGAATGAGATGAAAAAGAGTGTTTGCATGGTTTTCAGCAGCCCCTTCTACCCAATTTTATTTGTAACTTGGCAACCCGTAACCTGTTGGGTCACCCTTTCAGAGATATTTCCTTATCTAAACAGATAAACAGAATGACCACTCCTCCTCCTCCTCGGCTGACCCGCGGAACTCCCTGCCACTTTGCTGGGGAGAGGGGGAACAAAGGGAGCCACAGACTGCAAGGAAAACTGCACCCCCACTCCCCATCCCAGCAGGTCAAGGGGCCCTCCCTCCAGGGAGGAAGAGGGCTTACCCATCAATCTCCAGTGCCTCCCAGCCAGCCCTACCTTGCCAGCAGGCATCTGAGTCACTCCCTCGTTCTTCCCTCACTGCCAACTGCCATTAAGAGGCCTCAGTTCCAAAGTAGCCAATTGCCACTTGCCCGTCAGACCTTGCCATCAGCCAATTGGGCACAGGGGCCAGATTGAGATGAGAAAGAGGGCAGGGATATGCCCTTCCCATCTTCCCTTGCGCCACACAACCTACAGGTTTCTGGAAGTGTAGTCGGAAGGCATGGTGGTGCTGAAGCCACCACAACTTTGCCAAATTTCAATCCAATGGGAGTAATGGGTCCCAGATTTTGGACACATTCTTTAAGTTAGGCCATTTGAGGTACATTGATTAAAAAATTGTTGCCCTATGATGCACCGTTTCACCTAGCTGAAGGTTACAAACAGACAAACACTTTAGTAGTATATAGATTTTAAAGACTTTGTTCCTGCAAAAAAGCTTCCCAAAGTAAAAGCAAATTGCAGGCTTGGTTTGAAGAAGTGGAGGAAGAGTACATATATAAGCCACTTCAGTCCCACACAGAGGAGCTTGTGGAAAGCAGGGAAGTGGTAGTACATAACAAAACCTTTCCAGTTCAGAATTATCTTCAGATTTGAGTGTACTTGAGAGAACTCACAATGGCCAGAGGATAAGAACTGCAATGCTGAAAGGAGCAGGACAGCAGTCCGTCAATTATATTTGGAGCCATGTAAAGCAGCTTCTTTATGAAAGAAGGAAAATGGCAAAGCCACAGATGCTAGATGTGTTTTTTAAGCAAACACCCAAGGAAGAGACGGAAGACAAACTGCAGCCCTGCAGTTCTGGGGTGACATTTCATCTCCAGCCTGCATCTGCATCTCCTCTGTCTGCCAATTCTAATGATGGTAATTGTCCTTTTCCCTCATTGTCTCAATTAATCTGCAGCCTCAACTCCTCTTCACAGCCTGTCCTTCAGGCTATTGTCACTTCTTTTCAAACTAAGACTCTGAAGAATTTAAAGTGTTTTTCAACTATCGAAGCACTTTATTAGGATGATGTTGAGGTTTTCTGGCAATGTTTTGGTTACAAATGTGTTTTCCTTCTTGAGTGGTCTGCCCCTAACTCAATTTTTTTTCACAGAATCCCTGTTATTCATATTGCATGATTCTGCATAGCACAAGGGTTTCTAGGAACACAACTTTTGTGCTCTAAGAAAATTGGCTGTATGGCAGTAGGATCTCATTAACCTTACCTATTTATTAATAAGAAACATTGTGTCAGTAATCCTGAAATCATACAGAATATGATAGCGACTGCAATCCTTTCTCAGTGATTATTGTAGATGTAGGGAGAGCCAATATGCAGCCTTACTTCTCTCCACTATATTAGGATCCTGCCTTAGAAAAGTTCCTCTACCCTTCTCAGCTTTTTGGGTTTTTTGCTCGTTCCTTCCTGGTAGAGGGCAAAGGGGCTCATGTCATGGGCAGCTCAGACTCAGAGGATCCTGATGGTGAGAAGCTTGTTCTAGGGGTGCCAGACGAGCACCAGCCCAAGGAGGTGGTGAGCAATTAAGTGCCTGAGCCCAATTCAGCCAGCAGTCCAGAGCAGCTGCATGTAATGCTCAGCAGAGCAAAAGCCCTTGGGGCATCTTGTCAACCAGCCAGGCCATTCCCAGCCTTGAGTGGTCCCCACTGGGTGCAGGTGTAGAAGGCACGGTTGGCTGAGTCTCCCTTGTTGGAAAGAACCAACCTGTCTGGACTCCGTGCACCCACTGCCTTGAACCTCTGGCATCCTGGAACTCTGCCCCTCAGAATGCCTAGACCAGGGGCAGGAAGTTTGTTCTGGAAAGGGCGGTGTTCTGTGAGTATGTCTGGCAGATCTGCAGGCCAAGGAGCGTGGTAGCCATTGGACAGTGCCAGCTTGCCAACAAGGAGGCTTCTGATAGGCTATCAGCACTGCCCAGGTCACCCCACCCCACCCCAGCCCTCAGCCCCTTGCACCAGGAGCTCAGCCCTAGTGCAGGCTGTACAAACAGGCAATGGGCCAGGTTTGACTGTTTACTAACCCCTGGCCTAGACCTCTGGAGACTTCCTCCCACTGCTTGGGACTCTTGTTGCTTGCTTTCAGTTTGCTGATTAAATGACTCATTGAAGTCGAGTCTTTTGGATGCCATGCTACTGGGGAAGACTTATTTTCCTGCTTCCCACTCTCTGGGAACACCACAGAAAGCTTCTGTATCTAAGGGCTGTGCTCCCCTGACCACTGTTAAAGAGGTTATTTTCCCTCTTTGTCCAGAAGAAGAGACAGACACCTGGCCATTGAGAGAAAAAACAATTGGCTTTAAGGATGGTTTATGGTTCACTAAGGAAGAAAAGAGTAAGGTAGTTCCCAGTGAGGAAAGGGACAGCTGGAAGAATGGTTTAGTGAACAGGCTGTGTGACAGCAGATACATTAACATTTTTATTTTCCTTTTGTTAAATGAGTTATATTTGTTTTGTAAGGACATAATTTTCTGTACACTTACTTTTCCTGTATTAAAGGAGTATCTAGATATCCTTATGCGAATTGTTTGGGACAAGCTAACAGTCCACTCTAAGGCCATCACAAGGGAACATTACAGTGAGAAAGGAAGCAGGATTTCCTATTTTGCCCTGTATGGGGAAGACCCCTAACTGAAAGAGAGAGTTAATTGCCTCCCCACGTAGGAAAGATGCCTGCTGTACCAGGTAGGTACCCAGGGACTCTGGTTAATATGGGGATGGAGTGCCAGGTCACCAAGAGGAAAGAGTGGAGCTGTGAGCAGGAATGGACAGAGTTCACCCTCTACTGCAAGATGTCAACAAATGCCAACAGTTACAAATGCAGGAGATGAAGAAAACAGCCCTCCATAAGAAATGACTATACAGTCATCCCTGACAGCTAAGAAACGTTAAGGAGATAATGGATGAGTTGTACGATGCAGCTGTCTTTCCCCAGCTGGGTGAAATGTCTTCAGTAAAGACCCTTGAATAGTATTCTTGTCCCACCTGCTATCAAATGTCAGTCTCATTGCTGGAATGGAAGGTGGGGGGAGGTAGTGCATTTTAGATAACACTCCTTACTCTGATCTATGTAAACTGCTGACCAAAATTAGTAACATTTAAATCTAAAATCTAAAACCAATCTAAACTGCAAAAAAAAAAAAAAGTTTACAGAGGGAATCAGAAGGATCTAACAAAAGATAAAAAACCTAAATACAGGTAGTCCTCAACTTACGACCATTCATTTAGTGACCATTCAAAGTTACGATGGTGCTGAAAAAAGTGATTTATGACCGGTCCTCACACTTATAACTGTCACAGTGTCCCCACAGTCATGTGATCAAAATTCAGGCACTTGGCAACCTGTATGTATTTATGACAGTTGCAGCATCGCAGGGTCATGTGATCGCCATTTGTGACCTTCCCAGCTGGCTTCCAACAAGCAAAATCAATGGGGAACTGTGTGGATTCACTTAATGACTGCGTGATTTGCTTAATGGCCATGGTGATTCCCTTAACGCCTGCGTGATTCGCTTAATGACTGCTGCAAAAATGTAAAATTGAATGCAGTCATGTGATGCTTTGCTTAATGACCACATTGCTTAATGATGAATTTTCCGGTCCCTATTGTGGTCTTAAGTCGAGGACTACCTGTAGCGGTGAACAAGGGTCAGCAATATGTCTATCATTCCCCCAAATAAAATATTTTTAACAAAACGTTTAAAACTTAAATTTAACATGTTTAACTTTTAAAACTTAACCTTTACATTTTTTAAAATTTATTTCTGGTTTTTTAAACTTTTAATTTTAAAAAAATTAATATACTTCTTTCAATTTAATTTCTTTTTTTAAGTTTTGTGATCCCTGACTTATATTAAGCAGTCTTTTCTGTGCTCACCTAGCCAGGCAACAAGTGATGCCTGTTCTGCCTTATGTACCCTGAAGCACATGACAAGTTGCTGCCATGGTCAAGATTTAGAGAGGCTAGTTGGAAAACTAGCAAAGTGAAATGTGGAAAGGTGACTAACAGCTGCAATGTTGAAAGGAAGCCCAGGCAGGTTGGTAGTGCAGGTCATTATATGGCGGTGGCAATCAGTCCCTGCATCCATATTCTCCAGTTTTCCCTGAAATTTTCTGCTTTTAAGCAGGTAGTTTTGGAGAACACCAAGGGAGTTGGGCAACCAGGCTTGGAGTGGGCAAGAGAAATGAAAGGTGGGAATTCACTTGGTGGGAGAACTTGAAGTTAGCAGCTGCTGTTCCTAAATTCTCCATTCTCTGTGATGGAAAGCCTGGGAGGATTAGTAGGAGAGACGCTGCTCCGGGCCTGCATGCTGTAGTGTTCCTTCACTTGAGTTAGGGCACTCATCAACCTTGTGTTGGCTGAATCCAAGGAGAGGATCCTTTTCTCCTGCAGGAACAACAGGAAACAAAACCAAACGAGATCACATTTGGTTAGATTCACAGCAACAAGGCTTTACTAGATTTGAAGCCAGGTAAAATCAGTGTCTCATCACTTCTTTCAAGAGTTTTCCTAGCCCATCTAGCCTGGCCAACGTTCTGCAGCAGAATGTAACAGGCTTGCCTCTTTCAGCTGTACGGCATCTGTTCTGTGGAAGCTGCCAATTACACATCTACACAGGGATCACACAGAAATACTGAGGCAGAACCCAGAAGAAAACAGAAATTTAAGGATTTGCTTTTACAAAAAGGAAAACAGGAAAAGGCAACAGAGAGCAGATTTATTCCAGAGTATAGGCTGCATATAGAGTCTGGGATCTCCAAAGACACCAACCTGAAGATATACTGAGAATTATAATTGCAATCAGATTCCAGCAGTGTGAGGATGCAGAAGGAATTTTAACTCATTCCTCCAAGGCAAACTGCTTCAATTCAATAATATTTGAGGATTTTTAGTATGATCTGTTCCTCATTTCAGGCCCTGCCATAACCATTCTCCGGGATTTTGCAGGACTTTAACTTAACCATTCCAAAACACTGAGTTTTAATACCAGTAGGATCTACATCATGCTCTGATAACAATGGCAAAAATATGCAAATATTCAGAAAATCCGAAAGGGGGCAAATACTTTTTCACAGAACATCAGCAGCTGTGCATGCACAGCATCAAGAGTTGCGCATGGGAAGAATGTGAAGGAGGAAGAGAAAAACAACAACAACAAAAAGGAAAACAAGCAGAAATAATGAACAAATCACCTTTCTCAAAAAGCAAAGATTTTAATCTCATTAGGTCTGCTGATGGAATTTTATACAAGGCCTCTGAGAATGAAGAGAGACATTACTGAGGGCAGTGTTTTACAAAAACACCACAGTAACCATAGGAATTTGGTTTATACAGTACATATTTTTACCAATGATAAATCATGGAGCAATTTCTTCTAAGTGGGGCTATCATTCAAAATCTGAGACTTATATTTTTGAGAAATGCTGTACACTGAATTTTACCGAGTAGTATGTGGAAACTGGAGAAGATGTTTCACATATAAGTTTATGGCCAATCAAGGCATCCCAGACAGCTTTTGGATGGCCCACCATTATTAATAATCAGGTGACAGGTTTAACGTCTGGCAAACTATGAGCAATCTATTATCTATTCCATATTGGGCTCATGTGTGTCATTATTTAATTTATTTACAAGTCCGGTATTCACATGATGCCCTGAACCACAAACTATCCAATCCCCTTTAGCCTAGCATTCATGCATACTCAGAATGGAATAATCTATTATTTAATAAACTAGGAGTAAGCATATATAGCCATTATGTCTTGGCACAGTTTGAGAATATTCAATCATCTCAGTATTGTTTTGGCTCTTCCAAAGGACTGTCATAAAATCAGTGTCCTGTGAAGGAGTAAGGTGTTCATTACCCATCTCTCCACTTTGGACATAGTCAGGAATAATGTGAAATGTGGTGGTCAGAAGGAATCTTGTCACCGACAGCTTACAGAGAAGATTTAGGCATGCATTTGGAAGGCCCTAGGTTTGAAAAGACTAACAACTAATATGTGCAAATATACAGATGGAATGTGTTTGTGAAAAGAATCAACTGTAGAGTCATGAGAGCAAAGTGATACTTTAATTGAAATTGCCTACACTCAACTCTCATTTTTTAAAAAGTCCAGTTTTTTATCTGACTGGATCTCATTCCCCATTTCCCTACAAAAACATCAGTTCCTTCTCAGAAATAGTATTTCCACAATAATGTCATAAGATAAATATTTTAAGAGTTGCAAAGACTGAGTTTATGACCCCTACTAATAATGTCACGCATCACTGGAGCTACTGGAATTTAGGATGCAGGGTTCATAAATTATTTGCTGGCAGGTATCCATTCATTTACATTAAGATCCATTTTGGTGTTGATGAACCCTATACCATACCATACCATACACCGTACTGTACACCATACCATACCACACACACCACACCACACCACCATTGCATACCCTGAGTGGAAATAAATCTAATCTAATTTTATAGCCTCGTTTGGAAAATGTCTGAGAAAAGATGGATTTTTAGATGCCTCAACCCACTTTTTAGACTGGGCCCAAATCATATAGTATACTTCTTGCATACTATACATAGCATGGTATACATAACATTTCAAACTCAGAGCAAAAAGAAGTGAATCTGAATTCCAAATGAAACACTCTTGCTATTACTGTAATGTGATAATGCTACAGAACCTGTTTCAAAGCAGAACTTGGCAAATGAACCAGAAGAAGTTTTTCTTTCCTGTCACTACTTTGACTTTGTTGTAATTATGTGTGAGAAATAATATAATCTGGACAACAAAGCATACAAAAATATTATTCTGGAGGCATGAGTTTGTGAGCTTTAAGGAGAAGGAGCCCACTCTCCTTTTTATTCCAAAAAGTAGTGCAAGGTAATCCCAGGATGTTTCAAACAGCATCTGAATGAAATCCAGAGAGCAGTAGAAACTGGAGTGTGGGGGAACACAAGTGTACCGGGGCAGGCCAGGGCAGTGCTCTGCTAGAGATCTGACTGGACATACTTGCCTACTTGAATTATCTCACACACCCCCTTTTAAGAACTGTAATTTAACACAGCGATGATGTCAATTGCCATTACAAATGGATGCTTAGCCTACAGTACAGCTCTGTTAATTAATGTGGGGAGGAGAGCAGTAGTGATAGACAAGCTGGCACATCCCCATCCAGCAAAAACAGACTGCCAGAAAAAGGAAAAAAGAGGATTTGCTGGCGGGTGGGGGGAGGAGGACATTCTAAGCCTGGAGCGGGTCAATCGACCTCTATGCAGTTCCTGATACCACAAGGCTTCTCTGAAATTTGGTAGAATAAAGCAAGGGCCACACAATTCTCACCCGGCCAGCGGGAATCCTGTCTGGGGCTTTTGCATTCCACTCTCTTGTTGCAACAGTTTATCACGAAGCCTTCAGCCAGATTCTAGGTTGCTGCGAAAGAATCAAACAGCTTGGAGATAGCATGTGGGCCTAGTCCTCAGCCACCATATGGAACTTTCATAAATGAGTGAGGAACAGAAACCATGCTTCTATCAGTTCAGTGAGCTGGGGAAATTTGCTTTCAGTTTAGCCACTATCTTTATTCAGCCTCCAGCATTCCATATTGCAAACGCCATGCGGTTATTCTATGTTTAAAATCAGCTTTTCAAATAAATCCTTAAAAATATTTCTTCTCTTGATAAAATTGGTCCACAGGGGGAAGAAAATTAAATTCCTGCTTCTGAATAATTCACCTGGAGAAAATATATACTCATCACAGGACACCAGGCAAATACAGGTGAAACTCGAAAAATTAGAATATCGTGCAAATGTTCATTTATGTCAGTAAGGCAACTCAAAACGTGAAACCAATATATGAGATAGACGCATTACATGCAAAGCGAGATATGTCAAGCCTTACTTTGGTATAATTGTGATGATTATGGCGTACAGCTTATGAAAACCCCAAATTCACAATCTCAGAAAATATGTGGAAGGGAAAAGCGTGGTAGAAAAAGGTGCACAAGCAGCAGGCATGCAAATGTTCATTTATGTCAGTAAGGCAACTCAAAACGTGAAACCAATATATGAGATAGACGCATTACATGCAAAGCGAGATATGTCAAGCCTTACTTTGGTATAATTGTGATGATTATGGCGTACAGCTTATGAAAACCCCAAATTCACAATCTCAGAAAATATGTGGAAGGGAAAAGCGTGGTAGAAAAAGGTGCACAAGCAGCAGGCATGCAAATGTTCATTTATGTCAGTAAGGCAACTCAAAACGTGAAACCAATATATGAGATAGACGCATTACATGCAAAGCGAGATATGTCAAGCCTTACTTTGGTATAATTGTGATGATTATGGCGTACAGCTTATGAAAACCCCAAATTCACAATCTCAGAAAATATGTGGAAGGGAAAAGCGTGGTAGAAAAAGGTGCACAAGCAGCAGGCATGCAAATGTTCATTTATGTCAGTAAGGCAACTCAAAACGTGAAACCAATATATGAGATAGACGCATTACATGCAAAGCGAGATATGTCAAGCCTTACTTTGGTATAATTGTGATGATTATGGCGTACAGCTTATGAAAACCCCAAATTCACAATCTCAGAAAATTTTTCATAAGCTGTACGCCATAATCATCACAATTATACCAAAGTAAGGCTTGACATATCTCGCTTTGCATGTAATGCGTCTATCTCATATATTGGTTTCACGTTTTGAGTTGCCTTACTGACATAAATGAACATTTGCATGATATTCTAATCTTTCGAGTTTCACCTGTAGTTAGTTATAAATCTGAGTTACAACCAAAGTAATATGAGTATATTTAAGTGGATGGAGTGTCATGGAGTGAGCCAGTTTGGTGTAGTGGTTAAGGACCAACACCAGCTAGGAGACCATGAGTTCTAGGTCCTGCCTTAGGCATAAACTAGGAGACCATGAGTTCTAGTCCTGCCTTAGGCATAAATCCAGCTGGGTGACCTTGGGCCAGTCACTCTTTCTCAGCCCAAGGAAGCAGGCAAGGGCAAACCACTTTTGAAATCTTGCCAAGAAAACTGCAGGGACTTGTCCAGGCACTCACCAGGAGTCAACACTGACTTAAAGGAAGAACAACAAGAACAACAACAACAAAAAAGTCATGGAAGATTTAGAAAAAGCAGCCAACAGAAGTTCATCTTCTAGCTCTTTCATCTCAGTACATGCAGGGAAATGTAGCTAATGCTGAAAGATTTATAAATTTGGTAACTAACTAACTAACTAACTAACTAACTAACTAACTAACGTTGAAAGATATTTAGTGATTCTTTAATATTGCTCAGTGTTAAAAGTATGAGATAATTCTATAGGCAAAGGGCATTTTCCATGTACAGGGTCTCATAAGCGTAGCATAAAGAAGAGATCAAAATTATTTTATGTGTGTCTTAAGTCCTATTCTGTCCTGTTTTGTTTTATCTCAGAATAAGCACAACTGAAAGCTATGATCCAAAGTATTGTGTATCGCACAGAATTCTACAACAGTGGCTCTGAGCACACAAGGCTTTGAGTGTTGGGATGATAGACATTTTGATCCATTATGTTCCAGGCTAAGAGAAAAGCTATCTTACCTTGAAGGGAATGGGGTATTACTTGCCCCACAGAGATGCTGCCTCTGGTATATGGAAAACATCTCAGAGCCTTAGTTTCAGGATAAGGAACAGTGAAAGGATAAGGAATGGGGGTGGTAACAGTACTGGTAAGTAAAACATTGCTCCTTACCTGTGCCTCAATTATTTTCTGCTTAGCATCAATGGTTGCTTGCATTTCTGCATGGTCTTTCTTTAGTTCCTCTTCCACAGCCATTAATCTAAAAGAAAGGCAAGAATCTGGAGAGTAATCTGTGTAATATCTGGAGCATAACCAGAAGAAAACAAGACAAAACACTGGCTTAGTAAAGGTGCTAAAGATGAAAAGATTTCCACCTGCTGCTTTGTTCCTTAAGCAAGCATTTCAGTGAATAAGCTCCAAGTTGTTTGAGTGGGTGCTACAAGGAAATTGGGATGCCTACACCAGCCCAGATGTCATCTAGATGTACTGGGATTTCAACTTCCAGAACTCCCAGCTTGCATGTCTAAAATCACTTGGCCTAAATTCCATTGCAATGAAACTGCATATAAACTATACAGCACTTGTACTCAGGTCGCCTATTCATGTAATGGAGTCTAACTACATCAAATAACAGTATGAATTTAGACTATAAACAACTCCTCCTATATGCAAGATAAAGATAGTTTTTCACTTAGCAAGCAATGGTCACATTTCACAAAGGATGCCACTGCCGGAAATACAGAGAACTTTCTTTATACCTTCAAGTTTCCCAGCCTTCCTAACCTGCTGATGATGCTTTTCATCTGGCTATCCTTCTCCTCCTGCTGCTTTCGCAGCCGCTCCTTGCTGTCTTCCAGCATTGATCTGTGCTCCAATAAGAGTTTCTGCATTTGTTGCTCCTGCACTAGGAGACGCTGCTCATACTCCTCCAACCGGCGACTTGATGCCTTCAGGCGATCCTTGAGCTTGGCTATCTCTTGCTGATACTGAAGATGGGAAGAAGGGAGATAAAAGTGTTCATTAGTTATTAATTCATGAGGCAGTTTTCCAGTGCTCAAGGGAGTGTAAAAGAGAAATAATACAAAGTAATTACTAGAAACTTGTAATCTTCCATCTCTTCCTAAATAAGAAGCATCAATAAAAACAAACAAGCCTGTTGAAGCAAAGTAAAATTAGAGGGACACAATTGAAAGGCCTAAAGAATTTAAAAAATAATTTCATTTCAGAAACATGTAGCTTTTTCTTACTTTATATGGAATTGGTATTTGAAGCAGGTCCTGCATTGACGCAGGGGTATTATAAGCTTCCTCTTAGATATGTGGGACTCAGGTTGTGAAGGACTTTATTAGTATGCGAAAACACTGAACTGAACCTGGAAACATACTGGCAATCATGGCCAGTAGGAAGAAAATCAGCTGGATGTATTTGGGCAGCCTCACTCATTTTCACTAGGTTATGCAGAATCTTCCCTTAGCTGGAGCTTCTGAGTTGCCTTCCAAGGACATTAGAGAAGGAAATTCTGAAGGGCGCGACAGCATGGATTAGTTTTCTAGTACCCTCTGTGTCCAAGAAGGGGTGCAGCAGGAAAAGCAAGAGAAGCTGCCACAAAGTATTATTGGCTGCTGTTGCAAGGGCTTGGATTAAAAGCAACCCTCTGACTACAAACATTTTTAAAAGGAAACTGAACCCCAACGAACAGGAAAATCAACTCAATCCACAATATGAAGGGAGCCATCTCAAGCATTCCTGATCTATCTGGACACAACTTCCACCTGGTATGGCCCCCAATAACCTGACTGTTGTTTCCAGGCACTGACAGAGCAAAAACAGCATCCAGATATTTGATAATTGAAAGACAGAGCTGTGCAACATTATACTGATTCTTCTCCACATTATTTCATCTAGTGACTTCTTACTGATGTGGCTAGAACTTAGAACACACATAACTGTTACCTTTTCTGTATGATTAGCTTCATCCTGATTTTGTTCTGCATCTTCCTCCACTTGTTCATACTGTCCATTGTTTAAGACCCAAGCAGCTGTCCTTTCCACAGGTGACATAGTGGCAGAGTCTACAGGGGACTGCATCTGCAAGTAGAGTTTGAGAGCAAAAGAGAGCCTTGTTAACTGCCCAGATTACAACCCAGGGCCAAAGCATACTTTGAGCATTGCTTGGGAATGGTTTCTCCATACTATAATGTCAATCCACTCTGTAAACTTGTAAATGAAGATATACATGGGGAGCATCAATCACAATTCCTTGAATGTAAGCAAGAAAAGTGCAAAAGAATTGTAATTATTTATATGGAAGAACACCAGTTAATTATTAAGATTTCCCTTTTTATTCAGGAAAATGATTGCTCATTTTGGATATAAAAAATTATCCCAAGAAGTCCTCTTAGAGTAGAATGACTTTACTAAGATTCCAAAAGGAAGCAATCAAAAATGTTCTACGCTTGGGTGTTAGACCCACTATTAAAAATAGACTTATTTTTATCTTCTTAAGGGCTTAATAATTTGCCACTTTAAAACAGAAAAAAACCCTATCCAAATATTGGTCTCCATATTTTTATTTTTTAAATGTGCAATGTTTCCTTGTAAATTTAGACGGTTTGGGGTATGCTGGCATGTGGTATGGATCTCAAATGAATTTAAACTCCAGAGTTGGTTTTCTAATATCTATAGGTTTGTTCCCGGTTGCTTGCAACTATTGTACTATTTCACAATCAGGAGCATTGCCACTCTAGGTTTTAATACAAGCTTAGAACTCCATGGGCTGCACCTGGCCAGACAACAGTGGAAGGCTTTGGCAGGCCTGCTCTACATATCCATTCTGTCTTGAGCCAACTTCACTGACTTGGATCTGTTTGCAGTAGTTACCTCTAAGCATATTCTTCAGTTGCTGAAATGCACATAACTCACTATTTATAGCAACTCTAGCATCTTCGAACACCAAAAGAGGGAAAGCAGTGTAAATATGACTTCCATATCTGGTCATACTTAGGATGCCCACAAGTACTCAAAGGAATAAGGAATTGTAGCTTCTCAGCAGCTGAAAAGCTGCTTTAAGCCTGACAGTGATAGCCAAGCTATGGCTGACGAAGTAGGTCTCTCTGTGCTTTATGGAATACTGAATAGGACCACGGTATAGAGGAAGCAAGGAAAGACAGTTATATTTGGATGAAAAATGTACGTAGAAGAAGTAGGCAGCATCACCACTCGTATGCTATTAATGGGAACCCTGGATACAAAGTAGGTGAGTACAACTAGCTACTGTGTTCTTATCTCTTGCAGAAAGAACAGAAAATATGCAATATCAGCTTCCTTGCTATCCAGGAAAGAGAACCGCTGATGCAGTCTATATGGATGGCTTAGAAAGTCCATTTTTTTTATCCTGTAACTATTCCAAGGAGGATGAGATTACAGGGAAACCATTTGCTACGCTTCTGGAAATTTGGCCATTTCCATTCATAGTAAAAACAATACAGCGGTATAGGCACTCTTGTGCTGTCTAGATATTTTGGACTACAGCTCTCATGAATACCTTGCCATATTCCATGCATGGAAAAATATACATGACTCAATAAATTTTGCAGATGTCCTGCTTTTCTGCCTTTGAAGCATCAAAAATATTCAGACACAGCTACAGTCATTTTGAAGGGTATCCTATTTTGCCCCAGAGAACCACAGAATTGATTTGGGATTCAGCCAAATCAGAAGCATCCTTCTTCCTTTCCCTAGATGACTTTCAAAAACAAATTCTGAGAATGTTTTCGGTAGGGATCAGTCTGCACTGGGGGAAAAAATATTGTACTGTGACTCGTGTCCATTGTCTATCCCCATGCTTAATTTACACTTCAATCCCTAGGGCAGTTTTGCACCGTTGTTGTTGTTGTTGTTGTTGTAGTTGGTTGCACAGTCAGCCAAATGTTTAGACTGGATTTGGCATTTTTATCCACCTATCTGGTCCTTCCCGAGGACCTGGGATAGGCAGATGTTGTTTGATGGTGTTAAAGGTATTGTCGCAGGATGTGAGCTGTTCCAAGTAAAGCTGCCATCTGCAATAGATTGATGGTGATTTTGTCAATGCCGGTGGGGTTCAAGTGGTGCTCCAGGTGTTTTGGGATTGCACCTAAGGCACCTATCACTATTGGTACTATCCTTGCTTTCTTTTGCCATAGTCATTCCACTTCTATTTGCAGGTCTTCGTATTTTTTTCTTTCTTTTCTTTTAACTGTATTGTTTCCTGCGCTTTTTC